AGAAAGTCTTGGCCTCGAAGGCTCGAAGGGGGACAACCGCGCTAGGCAGGCATCATCCTCGGACCCCAAGGTCCCTTTGCTATCGGCAGATCCACTGAAAGCAGGGCCCTTTTGCATTGAACGACTTTTTGTCGGAGGAGTGGCGACGCGGGTTGGCTAGCTCGCAGCCACCAACGCGTTGGTCCTATTGCCCTTTTCCTCCTTTTGGCTCTAGCGGTCGAGCCCGGGGTACGACTTGCGGCTTCTGGCGATGCTTCCCACGCTTCCCCGACCTTGGCCACCCGTCTTGGACATTGCTTGAGTTGCTTGAGATGTGCTTGGCTGCCATTCCCTCTGCCACACCCGGCGGCACCCTGCCCTCCCGCGGTGACTACCTGCTCTTCTCGTGCTTGGCGCCCAGCTCCCTTGGCGATCGATCCGGGAGGCGGCTCTTTGAATGGCCTGTTGAGTGCGAAACCACTCACCTTGAGGGGCTCAACTCTCGCGCTCTTGTCAGTCTGACAACTCTGATGTTTTGCGCCCCATGTCGTCAAGTCAATGTGCAACGTTGGCGGCTGGAATATGGGAGGCGGCGGTGACCGGCGGCGCGACGGCGGAGGAGGGTAGCGGGATGGATCAATTGCCAACGCCCCCCAACGCCATTCCCGCTCAAACGGCGCTCAATGGCCCTGGCCTAACCATCGAATGACAAGAGGCCTCTTGGTCATTTCTGGGAGGCGGACAGGCTCCGCGACCGCACCGTCGAACAGTACGTGAGTACCTAATTTGTTCCAGTCACCGAGAGAGGCCTATCAGGGGGTGGAGAAGAGACGGGCGGAATGTGTCCACCCCCAGAGCACCCCTCCACTCCCACAATCCAGCCTGTTCCTCCTCGAACTGCTAGTTCGTTGCTTGCAGTTCTTCGGGTGGTCCTCATCTGCGAGGGTATCGAAGTATCGAACGCGGGTTGGCGGGTTGGTCGGTTGACTCTCTGTGCCGTGGTATCCTATCAAACGGCACGATCACACCTCTTACGAGCAACCAGAACCATCCCTTCCCACCCTTCTAGACGGTGGCAAGGAAGGATAGACCCAACAAGAGTCCTCTCGAGATGAACGATTGGTGCATATCAGGGGCGATTTCGTTTATCGGTCACGTCAGTGCGTCTGTCAAGGACAAGCTACCGCCCGTTCCACGGCTCCATGTGTGTACACTCCACGGAGACACACACCCTCCATCTCGTCCAAACAAGCTTCCGCTTGCATCCAGCGCAATATCTACATACATTGTAGCCTTTTCGTATCGCCCGATGCTCCGCCAGGGGTTGGCCCGCTTCGCCAACGACTGACTCCATTAGGCAGGTCAATATCTCGGCCCACTGGTCGCCGATATGGCAACCGATCATGGAGTCCATCGACGAGGCCCTGGATGTGCGACGCATCTAAATACTACCCGACGCGCTCTCCCTCGTTGTGCTCGATTCTGGTTTCTTCAGCCCACAAGCTCTACGACCAGAGACTCCCCCCTTTGAGTTCCATTCTTTTGAGGACTCAGGGTGCAACCCGAACGCAACACAAACCCGGCAACCAGTACCTGAAAGATTGCCAACCATGGCCTTCAGCAAGTGGAGGGGCAAGGTCGGAGAGCGGCCCATCGTGGTCGACGCCGTCTCGACCGGCGTCGATGCCAACGGTCTCGAGACCGTCAACCCAGACGCCGAACTCAAGAAGTTCAAGAAGATTCACAAGTGGGATCCCTTTTTGGACATTGACAAGCTCGATGCCGCCGACGCCGCCGTCCAGTCTGGCGACTACGAGAAGGAAGCTGCCGTTGAGGCTGCTCTCCACGAGGACTCTCCCTACCCCGAGGTCCGCGCTTCGGTGAGTTTATTCAACGTCCCGAGTCGACCAACGGGCGCCATGACTAACATACTCAGGTTCAACCTTTTGACGACACCGAATTGCCCATCAACACCATCCGTGCCTGGGCGATTGGTGCTATCATGTGCACACTCATCGCCGCCTGCAACATTCTCCTCGGTCTCCGTCGCTCACCCATCATCATCACCTCCACCGTGGTGCAATTGATCTCCTACCCCCTCGGCTGCTTCTGCGCCAAGGTCATCCCGGAGATCAAGTTCAACCTCTTCGGTAACGAGCTCAACACCAACCCCGGTCCCTTCAACGTCAAGGAGCACACCATCATCACCATGATGACTGCTGCCGGTGCCACCGCCAGTTACGCCATTGACATTCTCCTCGCCCAGGAGATCTTCTACAAGCAATACTTTGGCTGGGGTTTCCAGATCCTGCTCATCATCTCGACCCAAGCCATGGGTCTTGGCATTGCTGGTATCCTGCGTCGTTACCTCGTTTGGCCCGCCGCCATGGTCTGGCCCGCGACCCTCATCACCACCACCGTCATGCACTCACTTCACGACCACTCGTCCTCAGATCCCGCCCTTACCAACGGCTGGAGGATCGGTCGCTACAAGTTCTTCCTCATTGTGGCTGCCGCTACCTTTGTCTATGAGTGGATTCCTGAAGTGTTTGCCCAATTCCTGCAGATCTTCACCTTCGTCTGCTGGATCGCCCCCAACAACGTTGTCGTCAACCAGGTCTTTGGTGGTCAGACTGGTCTCGGCCTCATCCCCATCTCCTTCGACTGGAGCACCATTTCCGGTTTCTTGCTCTCACCCCTGCAGACTCCGGCTTTCGCCATTGCCAATGTCGGTGCCGGCATCATCATCATGATGATTGGCTGCATCGGTCTTGCTTGGGGCGGACCCGAGTTCTACCGCTACCTCCCCATCAGCGCCAACTCCAACTTCGACCACTTTGCTCAGCCCTACAACACGAGCCGTATCTTGACTCCCGACTTCACCTTCAACGAGACTGCATACCAAGAGTACTCTCCTCTCATCCTGGGACCTGCGTTCTCCCTGTCCTATGGCATGGGTTTCGCTGGCCTCATCAGCACCCTTGTTCACGTTGCTCTCTTTTACGGCCGCGACATCATCGACCGCACCAAGTCTGCTTCTAACGAAGAGGCTGATATCCACCTCAAGCTCATGCGCCGTTACAAGGAGGCCCCCGAGTGGTGGTTCGCGACCATGTTTGCTGTCAGCTTTGCCTTTGGTATGATCGCATCTCAGGTCTGGAACACTCACTTGACCTGGTGGGCATACATCATCTGTATCATTATCGGAGCCTTCTTCATTCTTCCCGTCGGTATCATTCAGGCCGTCACCAACCAGCAGACCGGTCTCAACGTCATCACTGAGATGATTGTCGGTTACATGACGCCCGGCCGCCCCGTCGCCATGATGCTGTTCAAGTCTTGGGGTTACATGCTCTGCTACAACGGTCTCCAGTACGTGTCTGACATGAAGGTCGGTCACTACATGAAGATTCCTCCCCGCACCATGTTCGCCGCCCAGACCTTCGCCGTCGTTTGGCTGTCCCTCGTTCAGATTGCCTCTTACAACTTCCTCCGTGGTAATATCGAGGGTGTCTGCACTTCCACCCAGGCTCAGGGTCTTACTTGCCCGAATGCCCGCACTTTCTACAACGCCAGTGTCATTTGGGGTGTCATCGGTCCTCGCCGCATGTTCGGTGCCGGTCAGCTCTACTCTTGGGTCAACTATTTCTGGCTCATTGGTGCGGTCTGCCCCGTCATTCAGTTCTTCCTCGCCCGCCGCTACCCTCGCAGCATGCTCCGCTACGTCTTCTTCCCCGCTATCTTCGGTGCTGCTGGTATGATCCCTCCTGCCACCACCTGGTGGTTGGGACAGTGGGTTATTGTTGGTCTCATCTTCAACTGGTGGGTTCGCAACCGCTTCTTCGGCTGGTGGAGTAAGTCTTTCCCCTTTTGTGACTAGTGCCCCATTCGGACTAGTCATTGTCATCACGTGTGCTAACCCAACTACCAGCTCGTTACAACTACGTCCTCTCCGGAGCTCTCGATATCGGCACCGCTCTTTGCATCGTTGTCTCTGGACTTGCTCTGGGTCTTTCAAACACCTCATTCCCTGATTGGTGGGGCAATACGGTGCCATTTTCCGTACGTTTATCTCTTTATTTGCATTCAATAGCCTCGATTCTAACTTGTCAAACCAGAACTTGGACGCAGATGGTGCCGCCGTCACAAAGATTCTACCCGACGATGGTTCCACTATTGGACCTACCCACTGGTAACTGGTCAAAGAGTGTAGCGAGTGGAAGGAATTCGCTGCGAACGTCAATGAGCAGCTTATATCGTAACTATGTTAGCAACAGATATCAGCGACTATTTAATTAAACATGCTTGGATCACTGTTGTTGGTATCATCCGGAGTGACATGTCCATGGGCACTCCATTATACTACCTTAGATTACTAGGTCGGATTTGAACAGCGTTGATGATTCAATTCTTAAGTGGATACCCAAGGTAAGCGTCTGACAACAAGTTCTAATAGCCGGCCACCTGGTCTCCGATTGCATCTATGTGAGTAAGCCGGGAACTTAGGGACGCGTCGCTGACGTTGCGGTACAAATCTCTTCGTCAAGATGGCGTTGGCTGACCTTACTGGCTTGCTACTTGTCACCCGTTGTGGGTGTTTTGTCTGGAATGTGTGCTGACTTCTGGATGGACAACCAAGGTGTCCAGTAACAGCAAGATGCTGAGTGGACCACCAAAATGCACAAGCTGTCGCAAGAATGGTCAGTGAGACGTCACGTTGCTCAGCAAAAGGTGATCGATAATGCACCGACGGATTGTCTAGTCATGGCTATCTAAGGAAAATAGCACTCTTGGTAGTCCTGAAAGCTTCATGTGTGGCAGGAGTGAGTTGTGTGGACATCAAGATGAGGGCGATGTTCAGTGAGTAAGTAAAAGGACTCAGCCGCGAAAGATTATTTGGTTTTGCTGATTTCATGGTTGAACTCACCTTAGCATTTCACTTTACGGGGATGTGTTTCGGAGAGCATTATGAATGAGACGAACGATCTTCTTCTGCAAAAGAGAACTCTATAACAACAAACTTAAAACATCAAACGTTGCTTCTTCTTCAGAGGTCCCTCAAATTCCTCCTCCTCGGTCTTGACCTCGATCTTCTCCTCATCCGCCTCCTCCACCTCTACCTTGACCCCGCCACTCTCCATGTCTACGTCCTCATCTGCTTCTCCAAAGAAGCCACACGGAGATGCAGAATGTTCTCTCTTGACGCCGTGACTGCCATCGTTCGCGGCAGTTTTGCCAGACATGGTCACTACCCTGCCACTCTGCCACAACAAAAGCCAGATTCGGTATTGTTCGGGCGCCGTGCCCTTCAGGATCCCTGAGGCGCTCCCCTCAGCATGGGCTGTGCCCTTCACGAAGTACTGCGGGGCTTTCGCCAATGTGAGCTCCGATACAGCTGGGAGGTCCAGCTGAGGCATGGTGCCGAAGTCCTTTGGTTTCATCTCCCCGACGACGTTAATATCGCCAATGATGACGAGACCGCACCGCTGCCTCGTCAGGAGGACGTTGAGTCGGCTCCGTTTCTTCGTGAACCCGGGACCAGGTTGACGGGCCTTGGTGCCCATTACGACGAAAACAATGTCGTTTTCCCGCCCCTGGTACCCATCAATGGTCGATGCGGGACTCATCGTGGCGAGCTCGGGGTAGTGCTTCTGTGTCAATGTGCTCAAGAGTTCCACATTCGACTTGTAAGGCGACAGAATCACCACCTTCGAAGCGTCAATGGACTTCTTCTTGACAAGTTCGGATACCATGTTAAGGGCGGTGTGAATCTGATCGCGAGATTGTTTACCGCCGTTGACGTGATCGATTTTCACGACTGTATCGGGGCAGTGCACGAAGATTGGCGCGAACTTGCCTTCCGCCGGGGCGACCAATTCCGGGAAGCGCTCTCTGAAGAAGCTCTCCAGACGATGGCCAATTTCGAACTCCGGCAAGTCAATGTTGCAGCTGGGCGCATATTTCACTGGTATGGATGGATAGATGACTTTACCGACGATGTCGAAAAGACCATTGGCCATACGAAGTTGAAGGCGCATACGGTAGACCAAATGTCCGGATGCCATCAAGAAGCCCTGGGCTGACACCTGTCCATCGTTTGAGAACTGGTTGTAAACGTTGCCAGAGGCGTCGAGGCAGTGATCATTAGTTAGTACAGTGGGTGGGAGCTGCTCCGTATCTCCGCCACAGAGAAGAGGCAGCATCTTGTTGCCCCAAGCGGTCGCTAGGTCACCACGGTCCATGTTTGCCGCCTCATCAATGGCTACAGCTTGCGCTTTCAACCACCAACGATTGTACACCTCTTTGACAGAGACGCACAGGGAAGGCGTGGTAGCCAGGATATCTGCCATAACGACAAGTTGATCCATGGCGGTGGACAAGATCTGATTATGGGATGGAGACGCGTTGGAATACTCATCCCAGGTGATGTTGCCAGTGGCTACAGCTCGAAGGCTGGCCCAGTCCTGTCTGGTATCGATGTCGCGTTGAAGCTGGTGCAACGCCTCCTTATCATCTTTGTGGAGGTCTCGGACAGCAGGGCAACGCAAGAGCACTAAGAGCCAAAAGGCCACGGACAACTCGAGGCACCAGGGCGCCGCGCGATCTTGAAAGCGAGGAGCAGCCATGTCTCCAAGACGAGGGTCTTTCAGCAGAGCTTTGAACGCGGCAAGCTCGTGGTCTCGCCTGTATCCACGCAGTACCATTCGATGGCGAGCTCGCGGCGTGCTCTCGGGAAGATTATCGTTGTATTGCAGGCAAACTTGACGGGTTATCTTGTCGATGCGGACCGCAAAGTTGGTAACAGCCACATTGGCAGGCGCCGTACAGAAAACAGGACCGAGACTATACTCCATGGCGAGTGTGGTCTTCGCCATGTCAGTGGTCTTGCCATAGCCCGGGCCCTATGGGACAGTCAGTTTTCACTTCCTTTGGACAGAACAGGGAATATGACCTACTCCTGTGATGATGGCGATTCCCAGTAGAACATGGCGACAAAACGAGGGCCACCGTTCTCGATCCTCCTCCAGGCTTATGCTCGTCAGAGCCTCCTCGTAGCGGTCATTTTTTCCGGGCAAAAATGAGACCTTGGGCAGACGACGGAAAGAAGGCGGGTTTTCGATGATTTTGGCGGACGCCACGGCCTCAGTGAGACCGGTCACACCTTCGCCTTCAACTGCAGGACCAGGCTGCATCATCCACTCCGCGTAGCCTTGCCCACACATTGTGAGTTGGGCGAGATGACTACTTTCGGACTTCGGTTCATTCCACCCGTCGACAGCAAGGATCTTGCGCTCTATATCGTCTAGGATTCCAAAAAATTGGAGGGTTACGCAGCTCTAGTGCGCCATCCCAGCCGCATTGGCATCCGCTCGACTTTCGAAGCTCATGACCTTGCATCGACTGCCGGGCTCATGGGAGGGCGGGATTGACACGGAAAGAACGGCTTCGGACTGACCACGAGGGTGAGGCTCGAGAGTTTGGATGCCGCTTGCGTACGTCTTGAAGCTACATCGCCTAAATATAGTCAGTGCATGAGGGTGAGATGGATTTCCTCAGCTGACTTACCAAGACCCAGAGGGCTTCTCGTCGTCCTCGTTCTCCCATATAAGCAGAGAAACTTTTTCGTCCAAGAGTCTCTTCCATGCAAGCCTGAACTGATCCATGAAGTCCTCGGGGAGAGGAAGAATGACGTAGTAGATACTCTGGCGATCAGGATCGTGAACGAAGTAGGCGCGTAGCTTGACACCAGCGACAAGTTGAGCCTGCTGCCACAAGAACAAGTTGTCCTGCAGCAGCGATTGTGTTGTAACGGTCAACATGGAGTTGGCGTCCTTGAAACTGATGATAATATTAGTATTGTATGAAGGCACTCAGTTCTATCTGTAGCCATACCTGTGGACGGAGTTGAATGCTCTCGTCCGCGGAAACTTGGCCAGAAGCTCTGCGCAGCGTTCGGGATCGAAGTTGTGGGCATCGCCGTAAGGGTAGTCGAAGGGTTGCGGCAGGTTCTCGAAGCTGAAGTTCTTGTGGATGTGAACCGGTTTACCCTTTCTGATCATGAAAACATGAAAGGTTTTGCGGCGAATGAAGTCGGATAGCGTGACTCCATGAAGAGAACCGTTCTCGTTCACAAACTTCTCAAGCTCGGGCTCCGACTTGTTGATGTAGGCCATACCCAAGCCTTCGACCGAGACTCTGTCGTTGTCATCCACGTCGCATGAGAAGGTGATGATTGTCGTGCCAGGACCCTCTTGCAGCGAAGGGAATCTGCTGAGCAGTTCGGGAGACGCCTCCTCAAACTTCTGAGTCCACTTCTGGCGGTGAAATCGAATCCCAATCTCGAGAGTCGGAAAAGGATCGTATGTGCTCCCATTCTTTGTGTCTAGACAGGCCAATGTGTTAGTGGTAGTGTATATCGCATGGCAATGATGGGATCCTCACAGTGGAAGCGTACACCGGAACCGTTGTCCTCGTTATCTGTGCCGTCTGGGAATTTCAAGATGAGGGCGATGTGAGGATCGAAACCGTCATTGGTTTCCACGCGGATCCTGGCTCCGATCGATATGCCACTGTCGTTGCGACCATGCGACGCCAGAATAGGACCTGACAGGTCGCTCAAGAAGATGGCACACTTCTCCATGCTGGTCGGAGCGTAGAACCGTGACTTACCCTCGGCAGGCCTGTCCTTGGCATCCTTGGTCTCGTTGGAAGGCATGCAGACCTTGCTTCACTCCAGGTTAGCTAATTTCTCGAGAATTGTTTCCGATGAGATGACTTACCAACTGTGAAATCTATGTTTCTCATTCGCCAACTTCGCCACCTGCTACCTACTACCCAAATCCCCGCCTTGGCCGTACCGACACGGACTCTTTCGAGTCGCCTCGTTTCTCAGAGAAAACTATTACTAGGTAATAAGAAAGTGGTGATCATGGATCAACCCCTGAATTCTCTGAGTCCGGTTTGCTTCACGAAAGAGTTCGAAATCTGTTGGCTGTTAGCTTTCTGATTGTGTAAACACCCTGAAATCCGAATTCAACTGCGTGGGGGGCGATCGCGTGAAATTCGGGTGACCGGTCTGCGTGGAAGAGAGAAAAAGAAAAAAGGAAGATTAACTCGAGGTGAAGTTCAGCTAAGGTACCTAAGCTAAGGTAGGTAAGTTAGGCGGTCCGCTTCCGCATGGTGGGCCCTCGTGTCTCCACCTTAACTACCGACATGTTTAGTCAATCAGAGACCTGGAAATTACCCACAATATAATAATTTTGCCAAAATTAGCCGCACCCTTACCATGGTAAGATAATTATACTGGCTTTGCTGCACCTGCCCGGACTCCCGTATGCCTTGTTTGGCCAATTTTCCAATGAGTAGGGGCATGCAGCTGCGCAGAGGATGACCTTACCGCCTGCAGTTACATTCACTTGAGCTCGATGAAGGGCGGACAAGGCGTTGCAGTGGCTGATCAGCGTCTTGGAATCTGAAAGCGCAGCTCTTGAAGGGAATGCACTACGAGACCTATTTGATAGACTGACTGGGGAAACAACTTGTTTCTATCGTATCTAGTCGTCACGACGCTGTTCCAAGGACGCCAACTCGATATTGACCGTCACAACGCAGTCGCTATTCCAGGACAGACAGCTTATACATGTACTAATAAGCTCAACTCGTTACTACTTTTACACAGCCTATTTCGTTATGGTATAAAAGTAGAGTAGCAAAAAGACATTTTACCAAAGAGGATATACGAAGTGAGTAGGTATGTGTGATCAATGTCTCTATGTTAAGTATCTTCCTATCTGCTATCTCTGGGCCTGGGATCTCTGTGCTTCGTGGTTCTGTCCTTTTATGTATTTTCTCGTAGCGTATTCTACTATGTATAATATGTAAACTTTGACGTAATTTTGGGGTGGCGGCAAGGACGATCTCTCCTTATAGGTATTATGTGTCAAGGTAGTCAGCATCCGGAAGACGCTCTATGGTCGATATCGTGCAGAGATGACCTGAGCGCGACACCCTTCAGACGGATAGGGTTCCGCCTGGTACTATATCAATGTGAAAGAAATAAAAAAGAACGGGTATCTCTTGTTGAATGTCGCTGGCCGCGGCGCATTATTCGTGATCGCGGAAGGTGCCAATAGACGGACAAAAGTCCAGCCAGGTAATGCAAGCAATTTCAGCCCAGCAAACCCATGTAGGCTTTCATACCTCGAGGAGAGACTACCAAGGCAGCCATAATCAGGCCTTTCACTCATGAAGGCTAAAGCCACCACACTCGGAGCCGTTACGGTAGGTAAGGTATTGCCAGTTACGAACTTTGATAAGAGGTAATACCCTGTGCCTTCCACAGGAGGTTGACTTAGACAGTCCCTGTTTGATGAGTGGGTTCCTTGTTCCGACTGGCGAAATCTTTGACGAATCAGAGACCTGAAGAGAATCCACTGTACTCAGCCCTGGTCCCTCCTACCTGGATGGTAAGTTAAACCACAGTATGCGCCGAACTCTTCAGTCACAGGTAAACTTCTTCTAACGTCCATCTCAACCACGGCTTCATACTTTACCTAAGTTGGTAAGGTAAGGCAGGTTGGGCCTTACGAATGGATGTCTCCAAGTTCCAGAATCCGACGAGCCTCTAAAATTCCAGCAGGAATTGCTTTCTGCTAGACTCATCATTCAGTCATTAATCATAAAGAACCCCATGCCCCTATCTCTTTCCTATTTCATGTTCCCAAATACCAACTAGCTCCTTTCACTTGGCCAGCGGAGGGACAAGTTCGCTGATAATATCTCACAGTGCCATATGCGGTACTACAGCACGCTAGCGCTTCCGTTCCTCTCTACGTATTGGCAGTTCTGATTCGTGTACCAAGACAAAAGCATAAATCATTGACGATGCATGTGCCCAAAGGTACGTATGACGCTGGAACTAGTCTCTTCAGATGGCAACCCAGTACGTGTCACATCATTAAGCCATGTAATCTATCCATATATCAACACTAGGAATTACTTCATCATGAGTGGCATGCTATCTTAAGGATTCTCTTCAGTTTTGAGGATAAAGTTGCGAACCTTTAAGTAAGTCCAAACCATAGGCCATCTTTGAACCATAGCTGGTTTGGATCAGAACACGGAATAATGAAAAATGCTTGGACTGCTTAGGTATAATGGTCCTTCACCGCGAGTTCTTTGGCATACCTGTCTCCAAAGGGCCCGCGAACTGGGAGCTGTTGCACTCGCCAGGTGCCCCACGGCTCTCTAATTGCAACAATAAAAGGGCGTGTGGCTCATTGGTTGAGGGTCTCGTTACCCTGGGAAGTGGTCCACGACCCTTTCTATTCACCCCTTGGAGTTCTGGGTAACGAGGAGGAGCGGGTTCAATTCCCGTCTCGTCCACTTCTATTTTTGTTGGTCTCTATACAGTGTGGGTTCGATTCTGAACCGAGAAAATAGAAGGAAAAACAGTGTGCCCGGTTGTACAGGTATTCACACATACTGATGTGGCTCCTACCTATCCTAGTAGGTACCTGTAAGGCCCAAGGCCGTCGAGCGTGCAGTGTATTGGAGCATTGTTGAACACCCATACCCCCAAACCCGCTTAGGTAGCTTGATAGTAGCGATTAGTCGAGCCTGCTACCACGCGGATAAGCTGCCCTGGAGTAGCGACTATGTTGTGACGGTTAACATCGACTTGGCGTCCTTGGAACTGATAATAACGTCATCTCCTTCGGTAAAGTCTCCACTTGCTGCTTTATCGTTGTCCTATCGAATGCGAGATCACGTTGATATATAAGGACGTGCTTTTTATGAGGGGAAGTAGTAAATTGCGTACTATTCCATCATAATTGGAACAGAATTCGTCTTAATTCCGACTGGTACACCTAACCAAGAAGTTTCCTCGTTGTAGAAAACTAGAGGTGATGTACCGACGTTATCTTGCAGTCGATACTAGGATACCGTGGCACCATGGGCAGATGATAAAACTTCGAGCTAAGTCAAGTGAGGCTCCCGTCTCATCCTGCCACTGCTGTTCCCATGCTGCATCATCCCTTTAGACATCATGATCGCTCTAATAAAAGTCGGAGGCTCACAGCTCGACGTAGCATTATGAGCAATCGACCAGCCATCAACAGAGGTGTAAATCCTCCCAGAAAAGGCCACCAATGATAGGATAACTTATGGCAGGAGACTCGATGAGAAACTGCCGACGGCGAACTAGGGATAAGGTACTCGAAGATCGTCCTCGGTGATCGAAGCCTCAGCGGTCCTTTATTCCTAACTTATCGCTCGAGAATTGAACTCGACGGCTGGGTCATCGAGTCCTCACGAATACAGAGCATACTTCAGCAAAGGCATTTTCCCTGGTATTTATGCTTCAGCCTTCCATGAAAATTAATGAACAAGATCCCATCCCCTCTCCAGCTCACTCGGCAGCCAACTTGATGTTGTACTCAAGCTCCTTGGCAGCCTTAGGATCCCCTTTTCTCTCGATAAACTTCACAGTCAGACCATCCTTCACCGCAAACACAGAGTCGTCGTCCAAGTACTTTGAGTCCTCGTCAAAGATTTGTGTTGTGACCGACTTGAAGCCTTCTGATTTGACCTAGAGAATCGTCAGTATCTGCGTCGGGGGTGTCCATCCGATTTGACTACTTACAATGAGATGAATATGAGCAGGTCTGAAGTGGTGGCGGTGAAGCAAGTCCAAAAGCTTTCCAGCGGGGCCATCACCCGGTACCTGAGACATCTGTCAGTACAACAAACACTCTCATTGATGCATTAAGTGAAAACCTACTGGGTAGGGCGTGGGCCGCAGGCAGTAAAATCCATAGCGTCCCTCCGCATCCGTCTTGAAGACTCCGCGGAGGTTGTGCTCGGGCTGATCGGCATCTTGCTGCTCGTACAGACCTGTGGTGGAACATTAGACGACATGTGCAAAAAGCTTAGCCTAATCTTCAAAAGTTACCGTTTGTGGATGCTTGCCAGACATCGACTGAGGCATTTGCCAGCGGCTTTCCAGTGTTGGAGCACGTCACTTGGCCGTACATGAAAGCGAGCTCGCCGTCCTCGGGACACTTGACGGCGATTGTGCTGCCGTTGGGGCGGACAGGGGTGTCGGCCCGCCAGAAGGGGCCGAGGATGGCTGTTGCTGTGCCTGGTTGGCCGTTCTTTGTGGCCACTCTGTTGGTGATATCGTCGACAAGCCTGGCAGTCTCATTAGTCTCATCGTTTCTTGCACCGTTCATCATGAAAACTCACGATTCCAATCCGATAACGTCGCAAAGCAGCTGGCCCTCGTTGCGTCGGTCATTTGACATTTGACCCGCCCAGTTAATCATGTTGACACCCATCATCCACTCATCCGTTGTAAGGTCGACCTCGCGAGCAAAGTCGTGGATGTGCTGGATGAATGAGGTGAGAATCTCACGGAGTCTGGGGTTCGTCTCCGATCCCATGGAGGCGATGACCTGCTTGGTGAAGTCCTGGCCGAGGCCCTGGTACTGGCCGTCTCCGTTCTGTAATGAGCCCATGGTGATAAGATGTGAATTGTGTGTTTGAAGATGGGTTTCTGGTGTACTCTAGAGAAAATCGCTGATGATGTAGATAATGGTTTCTCGGTGAGACGACGTGATCTTGAAAGATGAGCTAACTTCAACTACCCCGACTGCCAAAAACGTCCCGCAGTTCGATGAAGGATACTTATTCCCAATCACAGCGCGTGCATTACCCGCCATTGCTTTGTAATTGCACGTGCGCTGTTGCTGGGCGGGTACCACCGGCGCTGGGCTGCTACGCTGCCGGAAACCGCCCCCCGGGTCCGGGAAACACACGCAACTCTCTTTTCGGGTACGGGGGAGAGATCCGACGCGAGGAGGGTGTCTGCCGAGACTCAGAAACATACTGATAGAACAAAGGACATGCCATATTTGCACTCATTATGGACCTGCTCCGGTCGGCTTGACCCCTCTACGCCGGGGACCCCGCAGTTTGATGGCGCCAGGCTTCGTTTTGGCGGAGTCACGCGCGCGGGAAGGATCATTGGCTTCGGCTTCGGGTCGTGAGATGTGACACTGCTGTGCCCCTAATTCCGTGCGGATTTAATCCAATGATACGATGGTCATCAGATGTATCGCTGAGTTGTAGTTCGTGATAGGGGAAGTGAGATGAAGACTTGCGCCAGCTCATGATGTGTCGGCAAAGCCCAACTTCACGGCCTCAAAGCGTCTGGTTCATGGCCCAATTCCCGTGGTTCAGCTCTGTAGCGAGTGTAGTACGAATATTTTGTAATTTAGGGCAACATTGATGGCCACTGGAGATCATTATTCAAAGATCTAGATGAAGTTTTTGTTCTATCTCGACATTAATTCACGCCTTCGCAACCCCGTTTGTCTGCGCGACAATCCGGTGATCCTCCTCCGGACCAAAATCCCAGCTTGCCTCATCTGAGCCATTTGGCCTGCTAGCCCTCTTGAACCCAATCTCGACGCCCTCAATCTCAACCACCGGGCTCACAGCCTCGACCTCTGCCTTATAACGCCTCGCATACCACTTCTCACGAACGTTGAGTGAGCTGAACAGTTCCGGCGCATACCCCTTCATTGCCTTGAGCGCCGTGCCAGAAATCTGATCGACGCTGTGACTGTGCCGCAACGCGAGGAAATCGTCGCCTGCGAGCTTGCGCAGTTCCTTTTGGACGTCCTCTGGGTATTTTCCGGCCTTGATGAGAAGGAGATCATACTGCAACAGCGATGCCTTGCCGTGCCATGAGCCACCCTGCGTCGCCCTGTTGTAGAGACCTGTAAGAGCGGCGATGGCGCCAATGCATCCCGTTCCGTAGTCGGAAATGGGGAACGGAGGGACGACGGGCTCGTCAAGCCCCATGAATTGACCCTGCGCCCACGCCACACCACTCACCTACAGCTCGGTCAGCAATTTGCAGTGTCAAAAAAGAAATATGTTGACTTACACAATCAGCAATCTGCTGCCAGCCGGGCCGCTGGCACCACTCTCCTTGGTATCCAAAGCAGTTCTCGTTCACGTACACGAACCCCTTGCCACGCTCCTTGGCCAGCTTTGTCAACGCAGTCGCGCCGTACCCCAGCTTCTCCAGGGCGCCAGGACGGTAACCATCCAGAACGACATCCGCCTCGGCCAGCAGGGTCTCAAAGTGCTTTCTCCCCTCCTCGGTCTTGAGGTCGAGATCCGCGGCGTGCTTGCCCATGTTGCCATCCACTTGGAAGAACGGGACATCGCTCAGGTTCGGGCTAGTAATCTTTAGAACATCCGCGCCGTACTCTGCGAGGATGCGTCCTATGACGGGCCCTGCGATGATGCGGCACAGCTCCAGCACCTTGACACCCGACAGTACCCGCTTGTCAGATGTAGACGGCAAAGGTGCTGGTGGTGTTGACGTCTCAAGACTGTCTACGCTCCACGGGGGAAGTGTGGTATTCGTTTTGCCCTGAAAGTTGATTAGCAGTGATACCGTAGACTTGTTGAGTGAGACTCACATGAGGCGTCTTGATAAAATCCTCATGCTTGAGAACAGGCACTCCAGCTTGGCGCTTATCGGCGTTCATGCGCTCAAGCTCATCAACAGAAAATTGCTTCACATGAGACTCTATCGCCTCAACAATAGCACTGTGATCCTTCAAATCTGGCCTAAATGGCTCGAGACCGATCATGCCGAGCGTAGTTGAAGCTTCCAGAGATCCATGAATGTGGTAGTACTGGCCCGGCTGTTTTGTCTCATACAAATTCGCCGACATGCGGCGATAAGGATCTGACTGTGCCTGGAGCAAATCCGTATCTAAGTGTACAAGTCAGCATACTTCATGTTGCTTTCAAAAATTCAACAAGATAACTCACCTTTTAAAAATTGCTTCACCTCTTTATCGAGTTTGCCATATCCTCCAACAGTTGCCAAATACGCCTGAATCAGGAACGCGGTGCTCTTCTCCAGGCTCACAGACACCTTTTTGCCGGAGGCGACGCCATCCTTGGTGGCTGCAAGGGCCCCTGCTACACCACCTTCAATAGCCTTCAGAGCTGAGGCCAACTCCGTTTCTTTGAAAGGAATTGGGAAATAGGGCAAGTCGCGGGTCGCCGAAAACTGCACAGCCTTTGAGATCTTTTCTGCCTCTGCTGGTATCTGGACAGTACTCAATACGAGATCCAATATTTGTTTCGTCTCGGCGACGGATGAGTAGTTTGAGTCCGTCATGGTTGCTCGCTTGTTATTGTGAAAACAAGGCCTTTCGAAAACGATTTTCAGCTGGCTCGCGGGTACAAAGCCTGGGTTGTGTAGGGAGTAATGCAGAGAGTACAGAGTATCCAAACCGTTGAGACTACTGTTGATTGTGTGCACCTTCCAGAGTTACGATAATCGTTATTCGCGAAAAAAGGATCATTATTTCTTCCGTCTTTCAGCTCTGCGATTGCGCATCGTGCCCATATCCGCTCTGCATTTCCCGTAGGTCTCGATCAGACTCCCCGATCCGATTCGGCGATTCGCGAGAGGGCGGAAGCAGCTGCGTTACAGCAATGGACAACGAAACGTCGGACCCGCATCGGGAATCGGGCGGAAGGGCACATGTGTGCTGTCGCAGTGTCCAGCAATAGCAACTCTAGAGCCACTTTGAACAGACCCGGCTTCCGATGGCTTCGGAAATGGGCACAGCTACTGCGGGCCTAGCTTGGGGGGCTGGCAAGCTGGGTGGCGCTTTCTGGGGCCGCGCTCAGGCTTGGGACAATGAAATGGAACCGTTTCTTGTCGGTCTTGGGGCGATCGTCGGATAAGGGCCTCGGTAGGTTTAATGTCCTGTCGGGTAAGGGACTAGCTTTGAGTGTTTTATTGGTTAAAGATAGGTGCGTTTGACATTACAGTTTGATTGAAATGGTGTCCTCGGAAGGTGGCACTTATGCTAGTCGTTGCTGGCTTTTAGTCAGTTGTTTCCAAGCCAGTTTCGCTGTCATATTTCTATGCTGGCTCTCTCTCTCGATGCTACCAGCAGGTCCTTCCTTGCAGAGCTGACGTGGTAACGCAACGGTGAAGAGTGATAACGATGATCAAGTCCGCATTGGATATCAATTGCATCGTTTTCGAGTCTTTCGAGTGAAGGCGTGAGTTGAATAATGGCTCAAAATGCCGTCGGACTTGTAAGCGGTGGATATGTCGCGAGGGTTGACGGAACGGATGCGGGACACTGTTGGATGCCGAGCCAAGCGGTCGACGATCCAACCCAGCAACCCGTTTCTTCAAGCAACCAGCCACAGCCAATGATAGTAACTGCAGAAGTAAGGCCTCGACCATTATTGGCTACGACACCATGGAATTGACGACTCTCGAGTTCTGGCTTGTTCCCCATTTCTCTTTGAACCTCCAAAACCCTCGGCATCCTCCTCGCGGCGTGGGAGGGTTAAACTGCGCCGCAGCGGGCAGCAAAATCTGGGGAAACATTTGTGAGCTAGGACCCCCCTGGAAAAGTGTTCCCCCGCAAAAGAAGCGAAAGCGCGCGCGCGCAAGCAAAGGGGGAAAGGGAAAGCCAAGAGCTCTGCCCCGGACCATCCTTTGCCTCAGTTGGCCGCCGCCGCCGCAGTCCTGTCTGGCCCCCCAGCCCCGAGGTTCAACGTCTCCTATCTTGCCACGCACTCGTCTCTAGTTGAATTGAGAAGAGCTTTGAGGCTGTCTCCTTTTTTCATATCGTATCCTCCATCAGACCGAACGTCGAAGGCGAGCAAACGATGCCTACGAAAAGAGTCCGTCAAAGCGAGCGGCGTAGATGCGTCAAGGCTTGCGGGAATTGCAAGCGGCGCAAGGAACGCTGTGATGGTCAACAACCCTGTCGGAGGTGCGTGATCCGCAGAGTCGAAGCCGACTGCACCTTCATCGGCCCGCCGACGAACTTTGCCGCTGCGGAGGACTCGTCATCCGCGAGAAGTCCTGATCGCCAGCAGGTTCATGTTCCTCCTGCTCCTCCTCCTCACCGAGGGAGTCCTCCCGGTCACGGTCAGGATCTCTTCAGCTCTTATGGGCCGACTGCCTCCTTTCATGAAGCGGTCATTTCACCAAGTCATCACCATCAGCACCGGCGCGCGTCGTCCTCAATCAGCCACCTCTCACAGAGCACTGCGGTACCAAAGGTATCGCGACTCATTGCAGATGGCAAGGGCCGGTTCATGTTCATTGGCGATGCCGCCAATTTGTCCTTCTTGAAAGTGATACGCCGGCTGGTGCGCGATCGCGTCGGCCTGTGCCCCTTCACTGATGATCCCTTGCGGCACATCATGGTCGAGGCGACTCCTGAAGGTCGCCCGAAATGGATCATCACGAACCCCGCCGATATTCCCTCCAAACCTAGCACTGAGCAAGCAAGATATCTACTGCGGTGGTATCTCCGTGCAACGAACTGTATTCTCGATGTTTTCAATGAGTCCGAAATCCTCAAGGACCTCGAGCATTGGCTGCGTGGAGAGCCAACGAGTCAAGATGAAGAGGCCATGAACTGCATCTTCTTTCTGATATTCGGCATTGGAGCACAGCGATGCCCGGATGATCGCGATGCCGATGCAGAGAAGTACTTCAACTATGGTCGATTCCTCGCAGTCTCGTATGCCATGGAGAACCCAACAAACAACACGGTGCGCAGTTACATCCTCATCACCGTCTACCTCCTAGGCGCATCGCGACGCAACTCAGCATTCATGCACCTGGGTGTCGCTACCCGTGCCGCCTACGCGCTGGGAATTCACCGGCGAGACGTCCCGGCGCTTTTCTCAACACAAGAGCAAGACACCCGGGATCGACTGTGGAAAGCCCTTCGGGTTCTGGATCTATTCTTGGCCGCCTCTTTAGGTCGCCCATTGGCGACTTCCGAGACCCGAGATACCTCAGCGAGCGAGAACTACTCTGCCTCGCTGGACCTCTGCGCCATCTTCGAATCAATCTTGAACGACGTCTACGCCAAGCGTATGGTGTCTACAGAAACGCTGGAGCGTATTAGCGAACAGCACCGTCGATGGGCCGCTAGGTTCAGTGATGGTCTCGCGGCTGACGGGATGAAGCCCAGCAAGTATGTTGACGCCGATGACGGTGAGAGGTATCCAAACATAGGGCTTTACCACATGAAAGAAGCATACTACTGGAGTATCATGCTGTTATCACGGCCTTTTCTAATTGACTTTGTCTCGAGAAACATTGCCCGGACCCGGACGACGTCCATGTGGACCGAGGAAACGCCTTTGTCATCGCCGTCAGACCAACTTTTAGTCCATGCCTGCGTGGACTCCGCAATACGGACAATCGACCTTCTGTCAACTCTAATACCGGACAAAAACGTAGCCAAACGACACCCCTTTGTCATCAACTCTGTGTTTGTCTCCGCCCTAGTCCTCGGCTTGGCCGTCTTCGGTGACCTAGACAGCACATTCCCGTTAGACCACGGTCTGAACGACGCGCAAGCGCTGCTCAAGAAGTTCAGCAAGCACGATCCTGTTGCTAGCAGAGAGCTCGCCATCGTCGAGCATCTCCAGAGCGCGTGCGTCCTCTACCGAGAACGGCGGGCACGTCGGAAGATGGAATGCCAGGGAATGCTCATCGGCGAGCTCTTCGGGAGCGTCCACGAAGGCGGCCCGTTGTCGACGGAAGCTTCCAAGTTCGGCTCGAACGCTGTCCACCGAGACATTCGATACTTTGGCAACCATCGACACTTGAGCACATCAGAAGCGGGAGAGATCAATAGCCTGGACCAGAGTGTCTCAATAACGACGGGGAGCACTGATGGGCCTCAGATGTTGGGTAGCGAAACTGGTCGAGGAACAAACGTGATCCAGGCACTTACTCCTTCGACCGATATTCTGCTCCCAATGTCACCACGGACGCTGCTTTTTGATTCTTATGGGCAAGATATGCCTTTCTTCCCGACTATGGACGCGAGCATGGCCCACCTAGGCTACACGGATGAGATGATGCTTGCTGATGCAGGGGCTTTAATGGATCCGCCGTGTTAGCCACAGAGCAACCACGCGTGGTTGGAAATAGACTATGTACGACTTATTAGCGACTAAATGACGAACAATACCAAGCAATGAACCACAAACATCTGTCTGCAATCATACAGATGGGACTTGCATGTGACGATATATCGTTTAAGCTCTCAATATCGCCCAAGCAGTGTCAAGCCCAGCGAATCACAGATGCAGAGCTCACGAGAAAGGAATTAACGAGTCAAAATACTTGTTCGAATTGATTAGATCTAGGTCGCCTCCAAACAAAGAGCCGAGCTTCCGTTCCTGCGATATACTGCAGCCCAAGTTCGAGACCCTGCATATTACTTGCATGGCGTATCTACAAGAAAACTCAAAGAAGTCCCATTAGTGTCACCTCAGAAAGTCTCGCCTGCTGATCTCCTACAAGCAGTAATGACCTCGTCAGGCTTGCTCAAGAACGGAGAGTGACTCGCTTGCATCGTCTCAACAGTTACATCCACACCCGCGGTGTCAATCATCTGCTGTTGACCTTGATGAGGAATCGCGCTATCGAGTTCGCACTTGATGTAGGTTACTGGTATATCCTTGTACGCAGGGTACGTGAGCTTGCTGTAGAATGTCTGGTAGCTGTGGTGCTTGAGTCCTGCGATCGCCTCCTTGATGGCGGCTTCGTCCATGTCGTTGTAAAAGATCTCTTCTGGGCGTGCGGGGTCGACCTTTGTCTTGTCGTCGGACACGATGAACCAAGGAAGCGGATTTCCTTGAAGCATATCGAATAGCGAGACTCCTGGAGGTGCTCTGTTAGTCGCAAAGGCGTATCAATCTCTTTTGGCCGAAACTCACCCTCTGGGACCATGAAGGCCGCGCAAAATACCAGTCTTACAACGCCGCCAGTCTTGCCTTCCTTCTCCCGAGCTGCCTTGCCCAACCCACGGCAAGCTTCACAGCCTACGATGCCGCCATAGCTATGCATGAAGAGCACAACATCTTCGCCAGCATCTACACTCTTCTCGATCTCTTGTCGAATGGCCGCGACATCGGGCTGAAAATCTGACAGCGGAGGTTCGGCACCATAGCACGGGAGCTGAACAGACTTGGTGGGATAGCCGAGAGCCTCGAGCTTTGAAGTGACTGGCTCGAACTTGGTCGCGCAGTGCCACGCGCCGGGGACGAAGATGAAGGTAGGCTTGGTAGCAGTCATTTTTTAATCGCGAGGACGTCTGATGTTCCCTTAGCGTCGAACAAGATATGGGTGTAAACTGTGTTGGTCGGTTGACAGAAGCAGTGGGACCATTTGAATCATTTTTAAACTCTTTCCCCACGGGGAGGATCTCAACTCTGTGAGATGAGATCCAGGGACCAGAAGCAAATTACCCCAGACCAACGGCATGATGACTTCGGACCGGAGTCCGGGGTAGAGGCAGCATGACCTTGCTATTTGGTACTATTTTGGACACTAAAACGTGTTGGCAGCTGTGGCGCCTGGGGTGGACGGTGTTAGTGCTCAGTGGCCATGAGCTCCCAGCCCCCAATGAGGGGATCTAGACTGCACAACAACGACTTTAAAGTTTCGGAGATTCACGTTATTGAAGGATAGTGAAATATGCGATCTACAATCCGTTCCCCTCGTTTTCCCCTCCTCAGTGCCGAGATGATACTCCGCAGTCTATGCACGTGTGGCACTCTTGCGCCGCCACCCGAAGCTGGCCTTCGGCATCTGGTCCATTGTTTGGAGCCCCATTCCCGACGCCTAAAACCCTTGATCCGATAGGCTATAACCCGTGCCTTGGAGGAACTTTCAGCTGCTGGGAACTTCCAGCCGAACGAATTTGCCCATCCGATGGGCCACAGATGCAGTGCTTCCGTGGTCGTTCGGGCCTTTCGGCACTGGCGTAACGTGGGTCGCGGCCGGGGTCCGGGGGGAACGGGGTCAGCCAGAATCATCGAGAGCGTCATAGGTCCCAGCCGAGCAGCCGGTCTAGGAAGTAAGGGGCAGTTAGCCTTGGTAACTTGTCTGCTTTGTCGGCCCTTATTTCTAGTACCAGCGATATATCTTTGCGTATTTCTTCATCGTCGTGATCTACGTGCAAGTCTGTAGACTAAAAACGGAGATTGGTTTCGCGCAGCTACAAGAAGTCGTTTCACGTAGTCTGAACTGCCCACCACCTCGAACCACCACCTTTAGACTTTGCCCTTCATCATTTTCACTGGAAAGTTTCTGCCTCAATCGATATGGCACCACCAGAGGAGTTTTGCCAGACGCCAAACAAGCCCTTCAATGTGGCTGTTGTGGGCGGTGGCATTGCGGGCTTGACCTTGACCCTTCAACTCCTCCAGAACAGAATACCGACGACGCTATACGAACAGGCGCCCAAGTTCGGTGAAATCGGTGCAGGCGTGTCTTTCGGCCCCAACGCGCTAAGGGCTATGTCCTTGATCTCACCCCACGTGCGGCAAGCTTTCGAGAATCAGGCAACACACAACGAGTCAGAAGACCACCAGGACGTATGGTTCGACTTCAGGTACGGCCAGACTTGTAACGACAAGAACAAAGAGGGAGACCTGATTTATCGGCAAAAATGTGAGACCGGCCAGACTGGTATTCACAGGGCACACTTCTTGGACGAGTTGGTCAAATTGCTGCCCGACGGAGTTGCCGTATTCGGCAAGAGGGCAGAAAAGTACGAAGATGACGGGAAAAGCGTTCTGCTCACTTTCCAAGATGGCACAACCGCTCGCCACGATGCTGTTATCGCCTGTGACGGTATCAAGTCCAGATTGAGGAGTTTGATGCTCGGCGAGGATCACCCAGCATCTAAGGCTGTCTTCTCTGGAAAATATGCCTACCGAGGTCTTATTCCCATGGAGGAGGCGGAGAAGCTTCTGGGCGAGGAACTGGCAAAGAACGCCCAGATGTACTTTGGAAGAAACGGCCACATCTTGACCTTTTCTGTCGCAAAGGGTAAAATCATGAACGGTAAGCAAAGTGTTTTTTGAGCTCTTCAGTCTGCCGACAATAGCTAATCAGGACTTTAGTGGTCGCCTTCGCCAGTGCTAAAGAGTGGAAGTCAGACAAGTGGGTTGTCTCTGTAGAGAAGGAGGACATGATCCGCGACTTCGAAGGCTGGGGTGAGAAGTCTAGACAAATCATCCAGCTTATGCAAAAGCCAGACGTGTGGGCACTGTTCGAGCACCCGCCCAGTCCCACCTACTACGAGGGGCGACTCTGCCTACTGGGAGACGCGGCTCACGCATCCACGCCCCACAAGGGATCAGGCGCAGGCATGGCGATTGAAGATGCGTATATCCTCGGTAACCTTCTGGGCGACATCTCTGATGCCAGCCAACTTGAGGCAGCATTCTCGACGTACGACAAGACACGAAGAGAAAGGTCTCAGCAACTCGTCGTCGACAGCCACGAGACTGGTCAGCTGTACGACTTGGAGTTCAGCGAGGACTCTGAGTGGGTTGCCAACAATCTGTCAAAGCGAATGGAGTGGATTTGGAAGTATGACTTGACTGATGAGTTGGAGAGAGGGAAGAGAGAGTTGACGAAGGAAGGATCTGCTGAGACGAGGGCGCAGCTTTGAGCATGCATGTGGGGTTTCAGGGGTAAAGCTTCGTTAGCGAGTAGAGCGAAAATGTATTTATCGATTATCCCACAGTTCATATTGTCTTCGATTACATTGCGTACTTGAGTATCTAGCTAATTAGAGGTTTCTGTTGAATTACAATTATCCTGAAGGGAAGAATTTGCTACAATCTTCTCTCAGATAGCACCCTAATCCTACTCTTCAATAGGTCGCTCCCCCGCAAGCAACGTCTCTTGGATTCTTTGAGACGGCAGCCATCTTTCAGCAGGGATGAACCACCAGGAAAGAATAGCGAAGATTGTGACAATGCCCATGATGACAGGGGCATAGTTGAGTGTCGATGCCTCAACTGGAAAGGCATAGGGCGAGAAGAGTACAGCGACGACCCAGCCGTTCCACAAAACAGCAATTGCCTGAAAAGGTTTGCTCAGGCGTCCCAGACTCCAAGCGGGCTTCGGAAATTGCTTCGGTGTCAGGAAAAGGCGACAGAGGCAGATCAAACCGTAAGCCGCGGCTGAAGGAACACCCGCTGCTGAGACGAGGGAGGTGAAGGCCACTGATGATGGAAGAATCGTGCAGGTAATGAGAGAGGCCACGCCCCAGACGACCAAGACGGCGTTTCTGGGTTGGCCATCGACGACTTTGGCAACCCAAGGAGACCAAGGGAGAACTCCGTCGCGTGCCACGGCAAAGACCAGGCGCGATGCGGCTAGGATTGCAATCGCAGTATTCTAAGCAGCGATGGTTAACATTTAATAGGCACGAGGATAATCTACAATTGGAAAGGCACATGTGACTTACAAACCACAATGCGACAATGCAAACGATGTTCATGAAAATATGCCCTCCCTCTCCGAGGATGGCTGCATACAATGGTACAAAGGGCTGAGCGCCGCCAAAAGAGAAAAGGGTGTCCGCATCAGGCTGGATCAAATCTCATTAGCAGGGATTCTGCATTGTATTTGGAGGGAGCATCTACTTACAACGCAGAAGAGAAACAATATCACGACAATGAAGCCACCGATCCCGCTGACCACGGTACTCCAAAAGATACCGCGGGCGGCAGCGACACTTGCATTCTTGGTCTCCTCAGCAACGTGACCGGAAGCGTCGAATCCGATGAGGATGCCGGCAGTAGCAAGATACGAGAGGCACCAATTCCAACCCGCCGGAGCGCCGGTTCCGTTGTAAGTCGTCATGAAAGCATCATGAGCGGATCGGAAGCCATACTCGCTCTTGCTTGTTGCGACTGGGAGCCAGACCATGTTGAGAACAAAGTCCAGCAAGACGAACCCGGTTGACAGGTAGAAGATCCATTTGAAGTAGCGGGCTATGCTTTTGTTAGCTTATCAGTGAATACATAGAGGGGTCTAGGTGGTCTCACGGGGCAAAAGATTCCAGATGGCAGCCAAGGCCAGCATGACTTCTGTGGTAATCCATTGAACAGCCCGGAATTCGACGCTCGAGGAATCAGAAGGAAAGTCGAGGTTGAAGACAACTATTTCCTGTTACAAAGTCAGATATTATTACAAGAAGATCGAGTCCTAATGGCATCACTTACCGAAAGCATGTAGTTAACAGCGGCTTGCGTGTTGCCTGAGAGGGGTTAGTGACTCAACTTCAGTACCTGGATCCGATGCCTAAGGAAGGATTGTCAACTTACTCGCACAGAAAGTCGTCCATGCCGTGGTACTCCACCATGCAACGATGAAGCCGAAGAATCTGCCAAACCGGGGTCCGCCAGCCTCAGCAGCCCAAAGGTAGATAGAACCCGCTAGGGGCAGAGAGGAGCAGATCTCAGCAATGACTGCCGCGGTGATAAAAGTAAAGACGCAAGTCACAATGAAACTCGTCCTAATTGAACATTAGGCGTTACAAATGCACATTTGCGAGTACAGACACAAGCACATACCAGTAGGCCAGATTGCCTCCGGCAGCAATACCAGTAGAGAATGTCACTCGGACTCCACCAATGAAGTAGAGAGCAGCTGAACGAAGTCAGAAACAATAAAGAGAATCGGAAGACTGCATGATATCAGCGTACCGAAAGTTGTCGCAAAGTTGTGAAACGTATTGAATGTCCGGTGAAGCACCTAGAAGAGTGAGTTATTTGTGTGAGATGGGCTGACTTTTGAAATCGTCTGCTCACCGGCTTGTAGCCTAGGTTTTCCTGTGGATTCTGCGGTTAGCTGACCGAAATGCAGTGCTTTCATGCTGGGGATTTGCTCACCAAGACCCGGGCATCTTTTGTAGACTCATCTTCTACGTCGCTCTGGAAGGTGTTCGCGTTCTTGGCGACACCTTCGTCTTGGCGCTCAGTCGCAGCCATGTTGATGATGTTCTCGATGTTGGTCCAAGCTGAGCGAATTAGCGACGTCGGAGCGAACAAATGCGGATGGAAGGGACGTCGTCTTATGGGAGATGGAGTATTCGGGCCGCCCAGGGGCCGTTGAAAAATCTAATTAGTGGGACGGAAATGTTCGGCTTTTGCGCGTGAAGAAAAACAAATCTTCCAATCATTGCCGCATGTGCCAATGGCTGACTTACTTAGTCGCGTGATGTGGGACTGGATGACGGCATCGGTAAGTCGTACGAAATAGCCTTAGCAGCAACTTGGTGACACTAAACGAGATGAGTCTTTTGGCAGGTCAATGAGATTATTCGTTATTAGATGTAGTAAAATGTGTGCTTTTGGACGACATAACAACTAGATCTGTGGCTTCACGTCCTCTGCTTACTCTATGGTACAGTATACAGCACTAACACGGTAAACAACGGGGCGCTCAGGAAGTCACATCAAGCCGGTTTTAACTAACGTTGAGACATGGTCACAACCATCCGCACACCAAGGTACTGATCTACTCTACCTATACTTATGATAACATCTCTCTCTTTACTTACCGCCATACATCTTTCTTTCTCTTCGGAGGTTGAGATTGTATTGGGTTGTCGCCGCGCTCCGCGTCCCCCCTGCCAATCAGGTCAACGTAAGCAACCCCGGGTTGACTGCCAGTTGCGGGATGGTTCGATAGATTTCGGGCATCAGGTCTATCACGCAATCGGCACTCAAAGAGCGTGACGCACGATGTCGCAGAAAACGATCAGTCTTGAATAGTTCTTCGACGTTCTAGATGCTCTAAGTCAGTCTAGTGTTCACCGTAAATATGAATTTTAGAAAATCGGGTGAACTTCACTGGCGCCAACATTTCGTGATTCTCACTCTTGAACTCTTTTGGAATACCGAAGTTTCTGTGTCAAGATGGCGATCCTCGTGCTGACTTCGCTGGTTGCTTTATGCGTTGTAGTGGTGACAGTGTTCAAGGTACTCATTAACTCGAAGAGTGCGAATCCTCGATGCAACGATTTTGACACTCTCCAGGCCGTCACTAGAGCTCACGCATCTCCCCTATCTCGTATCCCTAATGCTGGATGGGGAGCAGGCTATTCGAGGTTGATCTGGGCTTTTCGTCAAGAATACCGAGGCAACGTCACCCTTCAACTCCCAAAGTTGCATGAGACCTTAGGTAGCTCCTTCCACCTCAAACCATTGACAAGGGCGGTGTCTGATCCTATTCGTTATCCTAGGCCCTCTTGTCCGGATCGGTCCCAATGAACTATCGTTCTACTCCATCGACATCTACAATACAGTCCATAAAGTCAATAGTGGATTTGTAAAGGATCCCCGAAACTATGGTGAATTCGTTCAAGATGAACACCCCGCACTCTTCTCCATCACGTTTGCTATAACTCTTCAGAAGTACCCGTAGATTTCTTTGCTGATACAGTTGCAGGGATCCTCAAGAGCATGCCAAGAGGCGGAGAATCCTTGGCCAACTTTTCAGCCGCAGCAATGTTGAGAAGCTTGAAGGATTGATGCTCTATCACATTGACGAATTCATCTCAGCAGTCAGAAAAAGAAGCATCTCTTTTGATGTAGGCCCTGCCTGTCGCGCCCTTGAGGCAGATATCATATGTGAGACGCCACGATATGACTCGACTCCGCGTTCGTCGGCTAACTACCCCAGCGGAATTTTCATTCGGCGAAGCCTTATCGGCCATCTCTACCTGGTCTAAAGGTGAAGAAGTTGCTCTTGTATCAAAGAACGATGAGAAGGCGACATTTTTGCCTTTGGTGCGTGCTATGGGTCGTGAATTGCTGATGTCTAAACAAAGCTGACCATGTAGATGATGAACTTCCCGCTTCTGTACTCAATTTGGGTGCGAGTTGAAGACTTCTTGTGTCACATGGAAGGGTCTCGTATATCCTCTAAAAAGGGACTACAGCAATACGATGAGGTTCGTTCTAAATCTACAAAACTTGTGATCGTACTAATTTGAGAAGTGGACGTACAAAGCTTGGGTCCGAAACAAAGATCCAGACCGAAAGTCGCAATTTCCCAATCTGCTCAACGTCATGGTTTCAGCTGGCGTGCCGACGCAGACTGCCCTATCGGAGGCCAAAGAGAACCTGGGACCTGGGACCGACACCACTTCTGCGTCCCTCGCGCATATCCTCTATGCCCTTTCGTGGAACCCGACTTACCAGCAGAAGTTGTATCAAGACCTAGCATCCCGTGGATTTCCCACGGATTTCAATACTCTAGAAAATATCCCTCGCTTGAGAGCTTGTGTCAAAGAAGGCATTCGTTGGGCTGGTGCGTCCGTGGCGATGTTACCGCGGGTAGTTCCCAAGGGTGGCGTTGAGCTATGTGGAAAATTTGTTCCCGGAGGCGTAAGTCGTCATAGCGACCTATTCGGTGATTCAGTATTATTCCTAATCGTGTGTTCAACAGACTATTGTAACTTCATCGCCGGTCTGGTACCTCAGAGACAAGTATGCGTATCCGAATCCAGAGTTGTTCAATCCCTACCGCTGGATAGACGATTCCGGCCTGAACACTACAGAGGATGTATTACGAGACAAGTTTTACGTTGCATTCTCTAAAGGCGCAAACACTTGTATTGCAAACCAGTAAGTGCCGTGGTCTCAAATGGGCATACAGTCACTGACAAGAGAACCCAGCTTCTCGTACCTAGAATTGTACATGGGTGTCGCAAAGATTGTCGCAAACTTTGAAATCAGCCCTGCCAATGAACGTCATAGACCTGCGCAGGTTACAGGATTGAATAATGCAGACTGGCAACCAGTGCAACTTCCCAAGAGAAAGGAGTGGGTTTCAGCTGTGGTTACTGAACCTCTGTTGATCAAAACTGTGCCGCGAAGACACATCTAGCTGGATTCGTGTGTGGCGATGAGAAGATTTCGGCTCCATTTCGTCGTTGCGGCCGGTAGATAGGAACAAAACATGTCCGTTACCTATATCTGTACGCCTCCTCGGTGTCCGTACCAACTCTAGCCAAAAGAGGTGCCTATTCCATGGCCAATATTTGCTCAGGGGTGCGCAATGGGTGTTGGTTGTGCTTCGTGTTTGCGTAGCAACCCCCGGCTCCAACATTTCTTTGAACCCTGGCTCGTCACATTGCAGGCAGCATTGTGCCTTATCATCCTCACAACTTGCAAGCATCTTGTGGCTCCGGAGTCGAAAAAAACCTTTGCCGCGGCCGGGGTTTCGGCAAACCTAGTGTCTTGGCTTCGGACAGCGGTTTGCGGCCCGTCCCCGGCAATATCTCGCTGGGCGGTTGAATTTCAGAACCTTGCACATGCTTACGCACTGCTAGACTTGACATGATTTCTATTCGAGCTTATGAAAAGCGGGCTGGATGAAATCTCTAGAGTCTAGACTCTTACGAACTAAGTTTTACGGTAGTACGGAGTGTCCGTACGGAGTATAGCCTGGCCAACAATGGATCCACAAGAGAAATAGTAGACAAACATCTGTAGGTGGGTTAAGGTGACTACAGCTATCCGCAATAATGCATCTCACCCATGAACCGGCATGTTTCACCATATGAGGACGCGTCTTCCTAAAATTTCCGAACGTTCTCCAGAGTAACCGCTTGACAATGACAGATGCCCACATGCCGGAGAAACCTAGATGTAGGAGGAAGTTTGGGATTCCATCTTCGGAACTATGACATAGCCAGCTGGGTCACTGGGTGGTGTGATCGGTGTGATCGACCTACGAGCGATAACATAACAAACGTGTCATTTGGTTTCTTGGCCGGTATTTGATGCGACCTCGTGACAAGTCCTTTCCGTCGTATTGGCGCTTTAGATGCGTGGTCATCATGGCTTCGAATATGTAGTCTCAGAGGAGCATTGCACATCTAGCAGCTAGTTCTCGCGGATCAAGTTCCGGCGCCCTATTCTAAGTTGAAGTCGTCAAGTTTCCAAGGATTTCCTGGTTTAGTTACCAAGTATACATCAGGGTAAGGTTACGTGATTGGCGGTTGCCCTCAGAACCCGATCATGTTTCCCCTATCATAACCATCAATCATCTACCTCTGTTGTTTACGTCCGTACCATGGTAACACGATACCAAGACCACGCCACGTAGCATTGTACGGCAATCGAGTTTGACTCTGCATTTCATCCATTCACTGCGATCAATACTTGGTACTCTCTTTGTAATTTATCAGATAAAATTCGATTCAATCGCTTCAGACTAAAATGTATCTATGCCGAGCTCAATCAGAACAGAGAGGGAATCCTAAACTAACACCACTAATGCCAATTTTCCAAACTTTTCCTTGCATATCAAAACAATCCCTATATCAAACAAGTCATTCCTTAATCAAAGTGGATGCGCCACATCTCTCTGGGAGAGCCAGCTGTGAAGTCACTGCGGGTGTGCATGGCCAGGATGTTATCGCTGACCAGCAGATCGCCCTGCTGCCAGGAGAAGTAGAGGGTGTTTCTTCTGTCGTGGAGGAGCGAGTCAATGACGTTGCAGATCTCGGTGCTCTCGCTCTCGCTCACGCCCTCGATGACCACGTCGGTGGCGTCAAAGGCAGTCTTGGACTGGGGCCAAGGCTCGTGGTACCGGATGCAGGGCTCTCCGGTCGTGGGATGGTCGACGACGAGAGGGAGGCCGCCCATCTTGGTGGAGTCAAAGGAGCTGGTCTGGACGCTCCAGGTGAGCTCTCTAAGTCTGTCCACGGACAGGTGAGGAGGCAGGTTCTGGAAGAGGAGTCTGGAGGGCGTAAAGAGGGTGAAGCCGGTGTCACTCGGTGAGGGGGTAATGGAGGTGAAAAACTGGAACCTATTTTCGGTGTGTTAGAGAAAGAAGCTCACGAAAGTTTTCGCTTGACTGTTTCGCCACAGCGGGGATGTAACTTACTTGGGAGGGTTGGGAAGAAGCTTCTCAGTTCCGTCCGCCTGGGGCACTTTGTGGGTCTTGAACAGCCCATCGAAGTGGAATGGCATCC